GTTAAGAATAAATTTAAACAAGGAAGTAGATGATCTACACACTGAAAGTTATAAGTCATTGAAGATGAAATAAATAGAAGCATATTCTATGTTCTTTGGAAGAACATTGGTAAGGTAACTAAATATGTAAGTATTAAAAACCATGTGATAGATTGAACAATGACTTCACCAAACATATGCATGTCCAAATATTTGGAACCAATGAATTTTATATTTTATGCCAAAAAGAGACTTTGAAGGAGTGACTAAATTCAAATTTTTGGATGTAGAGATTATCCTAGATTATCTGGGAGTACCTTAAATGTAATCATAAGTGTTCTTATAGGAGGAGGACAGGGAATTTTGACACATGATGATGGAAGTAGGTAGACATTCGAAGCTATCATGCTGGTAGGTGTGAAGGTGAAGATATAAAGCAAGGATTACAAAGAATTCAACTCTAAAAGTTGGAAAAGGCAGCTAGGTATGGTGGTACATGCCATCTACTTTGGGAGGTTGAGTTAGAAGAATCACTTGAGTCATGAATTTGAGACCAGTGTGAGCAATATAGTGAAGCCCTATCTCTAAATATGTAAATGAATGAATGAATGAATAAATAAATAAAGTTGTTAAAATCAAGGAAATTGATTCTCCCCTATAACCTCTAGAGGCACTGTAGCCTCACCAACTGATTGATTACAACTCTATTAAACAAATGCAATTTCTGACCTCCAGTATTATAAAAGAAAATTTTCTGCTGTTTGAAGTCACTAAGTCTGTGATAATTTTTACTGCAGCTATAGGAAATTAATACAAACTATATGTATACATATACATGCACATATATACAAACATATATGCATACATACAGATATGCACACATATGTATATAACTCTTCTATTTGATTTAAATGAAAACATAAAACAATAATTATCAAATTGTGTTTATGGGTTTATATGCCAATAATAGCACAAAGTAAGAAGGAAGGAGTGAAGGTACATATTGGAGGAAATGTCTTATAGTCACTGAATCTAAGTAGAATTGATACAGACTGTTTTAAACTAAGATTTTATTTTGTAACCTCTAAGCATCCAGTAGAGAAAAAATTCAAAAAGTCTTGTAGAAGAAACAAGAGAGTTAAAATGGCACACTAAAAATAGAGAACTATAAAAACAAAAATATAAACTAAATATGAGGCCATAATGAAATTCTGTTTACTCTTAATGGACTGAAGTTCTACAAATAATATTGTCTGATCACAATAGAATTAAATTAGTAATCAAAGCACAGGAAATTTGGGAAAAATATAGACATATACATAATTAAACAATATGCTCCCACTTAACCTAAAAAAACCATGGGATAAAAATTAGGAAATACTTTGAAAATCAAAACCAAAACATTTAAAAACTTATGGAAGATAGTTAAGCAGTACTTAGATGAAAGTGTGTAGCTGAAAATGTTAGCATCAAACAAATGAAAATCTCAAATCAAGAATGTGAACTTCCACTTTTTAAAAAATCTAGACAAAGAAGAGCACTTGAATCAATGAAGTAAAAAAATGAAATAGTAAAGATTAGAAATAATGGAGTAGAGAATAGAATAGCAATGAAACTAAAAGTTGATTCTTTGAAAATATGTTTTTATAAACTGACAAAACTTTAGTTGGACTAATAAAGATGAATATTGATATTAATAAAATTAGAAATAAAAGAGGGAATATCAGCCCTGAACCTTTAGATCTAAACAGAGTTATAGAGTAATACTATGAGCAAATGTATGACAACAAATAAAACAAGATAGATGAAACAGGCAAATTCCAAGAAAATCTCCCACAACTGGCTTTAAAAGAAACTTTGAAAGACAAGTCATAACACAGAGAATATGACTTCACAGAACTCCATGATGAGCAATTAGTTAGTTAGCAAAAACTGTCAGAATCTACCTATCAGAACTCTGGAATATAGCAGAAAAAAAAACAAATAAAAACCCTACAATTAGAGGGAAACTCAATGAAGAAAGAAGCTGCTTCTTTGTGTTGAGAAATCTAAAATTGTCAACCTACCAAATGCTCCAGATTGGCAGTGACCTGTTGATGACAATCCACTCTCCTGGTTTACAGTAATAATGCCAGAAGTAGATATTTGGATTTATTATCATAGAATTATAATAGTGGTCATGGCCTGCCTGCAAGCTTCTTGAAGGAGGAACATGAAGGCTTCCCTTTATTACATCAGACTGGGAGCACTTAAGAGCTAGAGCTGAGTTGACTTTCTAGTTGGCTTTTTGTCAAAAGCACTTAAGATCCAAGGTATTGGCCACATCAGTTTGGGACAAAGGACAGCATTCATGATAGCAATGAATAGAATGAAAACTGTAGGAAGGAAGAGTTTGAGAAAAGAGAGATGTGGGGGAATAAGCATTTATTAAAACTTTCACATACACTGGGGAAATCAAGAAGGCCATGTGTATGCCAAAAGTGACATATACTCAGAAAAGATCAGGGACGAATTAACCATTTACTTGGAGCTTGCCTCTAGACTCTACACAAGCATAAGGTAAACTATTAAAAATGCTCCATGCCAAGCACAATGGTACACACTATAATCCCAGCAGTTAGGAAGCTGAGGCAAGAAGATCAAGATTTCAAGGCCAGCCTGAGGTACATAGCAAGTTTGAGTCCAGACTGAGTTACATAGGGAGATGTTATCTCAAAACAAAACAAACAAATAGGGAAGCTCTAGCTCTAAGTTCATCTGAAGAGACTGAAAAAGTATTTTTGTATTTTCTTTTTTCCTAGAAGTGGCTCTAGGAATTTAAAGTAAGTCTGTCTAAACAGAAGCTGACCAATAAACTAATAAAACACACACCCTTCAGTGACCACACATAACAAAGAACATAGAATTTACAAAAATACTCTGAACAAGCAAACAATAACCCACAATAGAGAGTAACAACAAAGGAAGGGGAGAATCTGATTGCAAGAGGGAATACTTTACAACCAGAATATATAAATTATAACAAAATTTGGTGAGGTATACAAATAAGAAGTAATGGTCTAAGAAGTCAATACGAGAAGGGGATCAGGAACTAGAAAAAAAGGACAGTTAGAGATGAATCAACACATTTGTATGTGGAAGCAATGTTAGGAATTTCTTTGTATAGCTATCCTTATCTCAACTAGCAAAAATGCTTTGTCTTTCTTATTATTGTTTACACTCTTTCTTCAACAAAATCAGAGATAAGGGCAGAACAGATTCTGCCTGGAAGTGAGGGGGGTGGGGAATAGAGGGAGGGGGCGGGGCAAGGGGGGAGAAATGGCCCAAACAATGTATGCACATACGAATAAACGAATAAAAAAAAGAAGTAATGGTCTATTCATCAGAAAGGAAATAATTAGAAACTATGTGTAAGGAGTCAGGCAAGATGGCAAATACCTGTAATCCCAACACTCAGAAGGCAGAGGAAGGAGGATCATGTGTTCCAGACCAGCCTGCACTACATACAAGTTCTGGACCAGAACCTTTTTGAGATCCTGTCTCAAAAAACAGCAAAACAAATAAACAGAAAAGAAGCCATGAGGAGGTTCATGTATTGAACCAGCTAAAGATTTTTAAACAGTTGTCTTAAATATTCTCAAAAAGCTAAAGGAAAACATGGACAAAGGACAAAAGGAAAGGATAATAATGTCTCACCAAATATAGGCTATCAGGAGACACAGAGAAAAAAATATAAAAGAGATCTGGATCTGAAAATTACAATTAAAATGAAAACTCACTAGAGGAACACAACATGCAGATTTGAGCAGGCATAAGAAATAATCTGTGAATTTGAAGATAGTTCAGTTGAGAATATCCAGTTTGAGGATCAGGGAGTAAACATAATGTGGAAAAAATTCACAAAGAGACCAGTGGTTACACCAAGTGTTTTAACATACATCATGACACTTCAACAGGGAGAAGAGAAACAAAAAGGAAGAAAAATATTTATTTAAATAGTGGCTGAAAATTACTCTAACTTAATACTAAACTATGTATTCAAGCAGTTCAATGAACTCCATTTTTAAAAAACAGAAATACATTAAAGACATTTTGTTAAAATGACAAAATGTAGCACTACACTGTAGCAACTACAATGTTGGCAGTAGTAGTTCGGTGGGTGGTGTCACAAATGTGAAAGAAAATAAAAGAAAGACAAAGGAAGGGAAAGAAAGGAAAGAAGAATAAGCAGAAGTCATTCGCGAGATGGTGGTGAACTAAGCTATGATGGAACTGCATTTGAGGTCCATATTAAAAATATTTTACTGCTTTCTATGTAAGCTGTCTGACACTTTCCTTCAATGAAAACAGTTCAAATGTTGGAGGGTAAATTGCAAGTGTGGAGAGAATCCAAAACAGATGACAAGAAGGAAGTTGGTGAAATCAGATTGGGATTCATTGACTCTGAGGTCCCGAAAGGTCACTCGGGCAGTGATGTCCCACAGACAGTTGGCAAGGGAGGCTTGAGCTTGGGGGAGGGAAGATTCTGGAAATGCAGAGTAGGGCGTCATTAGAAGGAGACAAATGAAGTCATCCTGGGGAGAAAATGTGTAAACTGAAGAGAGGGGAGACTGAAGACAGAAACCCAGGGTTCTGTGGTGGCTCAGCTTCCCGGCAAGTACCATCACCAGGCTATGTAATCAGGCAGAGCTGGCTTTGAAAGTGGTTGTAGGATTTAGGACCTGGGTCTTGGCAAAGTAGGGTACACTCTCTGATCAGATATCACACGTAGTAAGAATGGGCATCTAAGAAGGATTCTCTCAGAAGCCGCTGTGAGATGGGGCTAGGAATAGTTTCCCACCTCCCAGTGGCGCTATTTTTCTACTTCACTTCCTCCAACAGTCCGCAGCTTCCCAGTTCCTCCGGGATGGAGGGGAGGTAGTGTGTGTGTGTGGGGGGGGTTGTGAGGGGAGATTGAGCTGGGATGACGCGGCGCTCACGTGACTGGCTTGGCGCTGTTGTGGGCACCAGCCCCCGCGCCCGCCAGCCCTGCGGTGTGGTCCTGGACCCTGCAACAGCACAGAACCTGCTGCCTGAGCTGCTGGGCTACTTGCAGCCCGAGAAGCACGGGCCTGTCAAGGGTCCCCTCAGGTCAGTGTGAAGACGGCCGCTGCTAGCGGACTGGCCAGGGGTGGAGATGGATGGCAGCTGGCTCCAGGAGCTGCGGGGAGGGGAAGGGATCAGGGAGATTGGTGAGGAGGGGGGCATGGAGCGGACGGGGGCGAGGGGAAAAAAAGAGGGAAGGAAGACCCCGCTGCAGCTGGGCTGCTTTCTCTACCCCTGCCCCGACCTCTGGCCCATGCTCCATTTTAGAGCAAGCAATGGGGGCGGCGGGGGGGGGGGCGTCCCGCAGTGCGACGGTGAACGGTGAACTGATTCTCGAAAAAAAACACCCTTCTCATACTCTGCCCCTGTGAAGACAAATTGACCTGGACCTAAAGGGTGACCTGGAGGTGTAGGATGCCCCGCTGGGAGGGAGGAGTACACACAAACCAAAATGTAGTTTGGAAAACATCCAGGTTTGGTGCCCAAGAACAGAAAAGAAATGGCGGCTGGGGTGCTGGGTGTGTGTGTTCGGGGCGGGCGGGGGGGTGGCGAAGGAAAAGGCTTGGTGACGAGGGTCCAGATTCAGGAGAGGAACGCAGTTACTGCGAGTCTACTGAGCGCGCCATCCCTGCTCCTGTGTCCTGTCTGCAGGTCTGTGCATCTGTGGTTCCCTGTGCTCTGCAAGGCCTGAAAAAGGGGAGCAACCTGCCCAGAGTCCCTGCAGGTCAGTGGAAGGGAGCAGCACAGACAGGAACCCTGGAGGGCTGAGAGTGCAGAGGGCAGGGCCAGGGCAGGGCCAGGGCAGGATTTGGGCTCCACTGCTTGGCTCCATCCCCACATGTGATGCACACACCTTGCCCCTCTGAAGGAGCATGGAGAAGGCAGCAGGGCATGCCTGGGAATGGGTGGCTCTCATGTGAGGAGGGAATGTGGGTAAGGAGTAGGCAGAAGGCGCACTCGGAGGGTTGGGCCAGCTTAGAGGACCCCTCACAAGGGCCAGATGCAAACACTAAATGAACCTGGTTCCTCCCCTGTGCCCTCAGCCTCCCTTATCTCCTCTTTGTCTCCCTCTGTCCCTTCCTCCAGGACAGGAAAAAGAGAGAAATCACGACATGGAAGAACTCCACAGTGAAAATGAAGGAAAACTGGAAAAGGAGGGAAAGTCAGAAGATGAAGTAGAACCTGAAGATGAAGGAAAGTCAGAAGAAGAAAAGCCAGACATTGAGGGAAAGCCAGCACGTGAGGGAAAGCTGGAGGAAGAGGGAAAGCTAGAAGAGGAGGGAAAAGCTCAGGATGAGGGCAAGTCAGAAAAGCAGGGAAAGTCTTCTGAAGGTGAGGGCAAGCCACAAGGGGAGGGCAAGGCAGAATCCCAGGCAAAGCCAGCCAGCCAGCCACGCGCTGCTGAGAAGCGCCCAGCTGAAGATTATGTGCCCAGGAAAGCAAAAAGAAAAACGAACAGGGGGACTGACGACTCCCCCAGGGACTCTCAGGAGAATTTGCAGGACAGGCATTTGAGCAGTGAGGAGATGAGAGAATGTGGAGATGTGTCAAGGGCTCAGGAAGAGCTGAGGAAAAAACAGAAAATGGGTAGCTATCACTGGATGCAGAGAGATGCCCAGGATGCATTCGCCCCCAGGGGCCAACGTGGTGTCAGGGGAGTGAGGGGCGGAGGTAGAGGCCAAAGGGGTTTACACGATATCCCATACCTTTAATGCCTTTGGCCTTGGATTCTGACTTCTCTGATGGGGACATTGCAGGCCCTGCTTTCTTTCCCTGGTAGATACTTGCCAGGCCCTGTGCTTTAACCTTAAGCTGAGACTTTGCTTTAGGTGTCACTGCCCTAACCAGAAGCCTTTCCACCCAACCACAGCGCTCTTTTAGTACAGGTTTTTTTCACCCATGTGCATGGAAGAGATGTTCATGGTACACTGTAAAATAACAATAAAGAAAACAGTTTGCAGAACCATAGATGCAGTATCAGCCCACTTTTGTAAAAATGCAAAGATATTTTCCTAACACACTTGTGCAAAGAGAAAATTGTAAAAGTGTGTACACTGAAAGGTAACCAATGACTATTCCTACCCTATGATCAAGAAGAGGTCTCACCTATACTCAAAACTGAGTCTGAGCACCTGATGGACCTGATGATTAGATACCTCCATGCAATTCTTCTGCTGTGTGCCCACCCCGGGTCCTCCCTAGGTGTAACCAGACCAGTGGGCACTGCTGCCCCTTCCCCTGAGTCCTTTTACCACCCCATTGCTCCTCCATATGTGATTCCTTCTTTTTGCCTTTATTCCTCTTTTTTCTTTTCTTGGCTCTTTCACCTCCACTTTTTTCTAAAGGACATGGGTTATGTTTGACATAATAATTTTTAAAAACTAAAATTAGAAAACAGTACATGATAAGCAACTGCACTGTTAAATGAGCTTAGGAGGACAACAAAGACACTCAAAATTCCAGTTGTCAGAATGTAAAATAAGTAAGATTTGCATTACCTCTGAGAGTCACAGCTAGAGGGATTGACCTGGTACTTTCAACACCACCCATTGCTGTATGGATCAGTCTTACCATCTTGAAATGGGGATAATACTTGCCTTACATGACTAGGCAGTAAATTACATGACATGCTAAACATGTGAATTACATCATGACCCTCACAGGGCACTCTCAGGGAAGGAATGGCTCCTACACCACTCCCACACAGTACCAGGATGTAGATGGAATCAGATACTTGGGGGAAAAGGTGAGGGAGGTCTCATCTGTGCCCAGCAACAAGTCCAGGCAGCTGATAGGTAGGTGCCACACTCTCCTGGGTATTGTCATGTCTGCTGGGCATTGTGCCCTTTCTCCTGAACCCTTTACTACTAGAAACTTTAAGGTACCACAACAGTGTCTATTTCTCTGGACAGACTGGTAAGCCAATGTTCACCTACCCTTGGCCTTTATAGAAATAGACAAAGACTTCTCACTTTGGAGTACTGTCACCAGTTACCTGTGGATATCACCATAGTGCTGCTGGGGCCCTAATTAATATCTTTCAGATTCTTCTTCCACAAAAATATGATTTATATATTTTTGTTGATTTGTTTGTGTTTTTGCAAACATAAATGTTCTCCTCACCAAATTCAGGTATTGTAGGCTAGGCCAGGAAAAAAGTATTTATGATAACAGCTATGTTGTACTCATGGCTTCATATCTGGTCCTCAGTTGATCTTTCCTAGGTTGAGTTCACTCTCAAGAAACTCTGATTTGGATCCACCTAAGCAGCTCATCAGACCCATCAACACATTTGAATTTTACATCTTTAATAGTGAATATGTGGTTCATGGATTAATGACATTAGCATTTCCTGACAGCTAATTAGAAAGAGTAAGAATCTCAGGCTCTATCTCAGGCCTACTATGTTAGAATCTTCATTTTAACAAAATCCCAAGGAGATTCCTATGCACATTAAAGTTTAGGAAACACCTGCTTAAACAAGGCTCTTTTCAGAATCTCCACTCTCACCTTCACATGAACTATGTACCTGAAGAGATAAATGTATGCACTATAAAATTTTATATTAAAAAATTAAAATAAAAATGTATGCACTATATAAGATACACATCATATATTACTAAATAGACCCATGTTTGTCAAACTGGAGTTATTCTTCTCCCATTCAAAGTAGATCTTGAAATAGATTCAATGAGTTAGGACCTGCAACATTTTTTGATGTTTCACTTTTATTTTTTACAAATCCAGCTAGTGTGCAGTAACTTCATAATTTTAATATGCATCATCTGCAGTAACACGTGACAGCTCCATACTGTGGTGTGACACACAATACTTAAAACAGACATGATATTTGGTCTTTATGTAAATAATAAATGTTTTTAAATTGCCTAACTGTACCATTCTGAACCATTTCTTTCCACCAGGAAAATACAGGGGATTCCCCCCTCTCTTAAAAAAATTAAATACCAAAATAACTACATTTAAATAAATAATGTTGTGATGATGACATTAAAAAATGCACAATAAAGCTAAAGCCATCTCTGTCCTACTGCTGCCAGTCCTAACCTGGAGCAGTCTGGAGAGGCTAGTGGTGCTCTTCCCAAGGATGGTGGGCTGAGGCTGCTGCCTCCTACCTCTCCTCACTTGTTTCCTTCCCTGGAGATTTCATTTCTTGTAGGAGAGAAGTCAGCCTCAGTATGGAACTAGTTCTGAGAGACCAGGAAAACCTCCTACTACAAATCAAAACATGGCCCAGAGGCTTCCAACGCTTGACGGCAGGACACTTGCTTCCAGATCCTCTTGTTACCTGGCAACGTCTCCTCCACAGCAGAAGGTCTCTTGACAAATGGGGAAACTGCAGCACAACGGAATAGACAGCTGATCAGATGATGCCAGAAGCTGGTTGAAGAGACCAAAGGTATAGCAAGTACCACAGAGAAAGGGTGTATGATGAAAGACTGAATCTTTTTTACCAAAAGAGGAAGTGTTCTGTTGTTTTAAACATACACAATATTTGGGAGATTTGTTTTACTTAGAGTGAGAAATTATGCCAGGGGCAAAGTCAATATAAAGAAACAAACAACAAAATCCAGCAAGAAAGAGAGCAGTCATGCAGTTCAGCCATCTCTTCTGTCCCACTGCTCCCTGGCCTCATGGGTCCATGCAGCCATGGCACCATCTGCCCTATGCACTGACATGGGAGGAGGCTAATTTATCAAGCAACTGCTCTACTAGGGATACTTGCAGGTGTCCTAAAGGAGCCCTACTTGGACATTGACAGGACAGACAAGATCATACCATTCCATGGGCTGAAAACAAACCACAGAAACAAAATGATGTTGCTTTTTACCCTAAATGAATGCACATGAAAAGTCCTGTGACTCAAAAATTTCCAAAGTAGAAATGGAATGATGTGAAATGTCAAAGACTCCATTATTGTAAAGAAAGTACACCTCGAAATATTCTAATTCCACATGTGAACCACCAAATACTGTTTTGTCTCCTGTGAGGGAGGTGGAGGGTTCCAACCATGTCCTCTAGCGGACAGCGCATTCTTGTGAAATCCACCCATACAGTGCTGACTGCTCTGTTCTCACATGAGGCTCGGTCCCCCAGAAAGGACTGAGAGTTCTTGCTTCTAGTTAAAAGCTGAGCCCACAAGCAGCAGCCCAGCGAGTGCTCGCTGGAAGACACTTTGGAACCAGACTCACCTCTGTGGGTTTGTTCAAGTGTGACTTCTGCCTTTAGGTTAAGGAGATTTAAGGCCACCTGAGTTTGTGTTTTCAGTGCTGAGAGTGAAGTCCAACCACAGGGCCCTTTACCCACCCAGGAAGATGCTCTGAGCACCATTAAGTTGATGTTTTGAATAAGAAAAGCTCTCTCAGCACTAGATTTGGGTCCCCCTTTCCCTCATGCCGCTGGTGGAGCATCCACACTCAGGGCAATGATGACGCTCTCTGCTTTCCGCTTTGATCAGAGCTCTGGTTGCTCTGCCTGGTCATGGTTCTGGCGCTTTGTGGGCAGGGACACGAATGCAGACGCGTAGGTTGCCAGCATGTGTAGTGGACTTGCTGATGACACGCGGCAGCTGCAGCGGTCACCCTGCGCCGCTGGAACACACCATCCACGAACACGACATTCTTGCTTAGGCAGCGCCAGCAGAAGTCGCTGCTTGTGTCTAGCCACCTCCCCAGAAGATCTCCAGGTTGCACCGCGAGATGAAGCTCGAGTAGTCCATGTTCAAGTCCACCGAACCCTGTGATGAGTTGCGGCCAATAGTCACCGACGGCTCCTTCTTGAGGTACTCGAACTCGCGGTCCTCGAGCCACACTATGGCCCAGCCGCCTGGCAGGGACCCGCGACCCCGGCCCCGTCGCCAGCCAGAGGGGCGCCCGCGCCCAAGAGCCTGGGCCCACATGGTTATGTGCCTCTCCAACTAAGCATAGACAACGCCTAGGCCGCCCGCCAGTGAGGAAGGCTAGCGCGAACTATCACATTTTAAAGTAGGATATAATAGAGTCGGATAGGAAGTATCAAATTAAATTCCAAGTTGTTTTGTGAAATATGTGTTTTACTTAGGTATGTGTGCATGTGTGTGCACCATGCTGAAAACTTATTTACAACTGTGGAGTTGTGGTTAAAAAAAAAGGAAAATGATTGCATTGAACCGTGAATCCTTAAGTACAGCCTATCCATTTCATATTTGTATTTCCACTGCCAAGCACAAATACCTGACAAGTACTAGGTAATTAGTAAAACTAATGACTAAGTCAGGCACCACAAATTCTTCTCCAAGTTAAACCTCTATCTTGGACAAATAGTCTTATAGTCTCAAAAGGATCAGGGAGCAATGGACTTTGCAGGATATCCAAGGGCTGCTGTAATTTACGAAGATGTCATTATTGACTAATACACACTCATCAGCACCAAGGAGAGCCTCTTTACTATACTGGGTGGAACTTCTCAACTTCAGGAAGACAGGACCTACAGAGTGAAACCAACCAACCCAGGAATCTTTGTTACAAAAAGACCCAGTGGAGGGTTCTGTATATGCCACAAGAGCATAGCCTCACAGAGGGGGAAAAACATGCTTTCTAGGCTGTGAGGCCAGGGAATGTGCTGCAGTAGTAGCCATTGAGCACAAACCTGCTGATGATCTTGCTCCACTTACCTTAAGGGAATTAAGGCTTGTATTTTTTGTATTTAGAGACAACATATATAATATTGATTTTGTGCTTAGACTCCATATAGTTTCCAGCTTTGAGTGGTACCCAGAGCAAGAAAAAGCTCTACATTAGGTCCAGACTATCACATAAGCTTCTTTGACACTTACAACCTCATGATCCTGTGGATTCGATTATATTGTGGGTATATTAGACAAAGAGGCTCCATGAAGTCTTAGAAAGCCCCAACAGGAGAATCAGGCTGTAGCCTTAG